CTCCATTGAGTCTCCCGCGTGCCTCGCGCGGGGCGGGCAGTGACTGTGCGGCGTTAACGGGCTCGGGCGGCCCTGACCGCGGCGCGACCCTGCGGGGCGGGTGTGCGCGGCTGGTGCGTTCGGGGGCAGCTGCTGCCCAGCCCGCCGCTCCTGCCAGCGGCCGAGTTAGCCTGGGTTGGGCGGTTGGTCTAGTGACGACCTCGGGTGACGAGAGGACCAAGCACAGGTGCCCACCGCTGCGTGGCCCGCGGCGGGGGCGAGGGAGCCGAGCCGCGACATTAGGTCGGCGGCTCCGGCCTCACAGGTAGAAGCCCCTCGTTCAGTGGTTACTGAGCGGTAAGTGCTTTAAATTATTGTTGGTTCTTTTTCTTTTTCCAGAGTCAAACACAGGAAATCCCTACATTGACAATAAAAGATAATTCTAAGTATGGCACCTTTGTTAATGAGGAAAAAATGCAGAATGGCCTTTGCCAAACTTTGCGGGCAGGGGATAGAGTTACTTTTGGAGTGTTTGAAAGTAAATTCAGGTAAGGATTTAAAAAATTGATGTAAAAGTGGAGTGCTTTATTTTGTACTAATCACATTCTAAAGGACACGTTAGTCTAATTTAGTTTCTACTTAGTGCAGTGGTGAACTTCCCACCGCATGTGGTCAGTGGGTCTTGTCAGTCATAGGAAGTGACCAGAGGGAGGAAGAGTTTGGACCCTGGGAACCTTGATTCCCGTAGGTTCAAGTATAATATTAACTTCGGTTGTTGTTTTTTCTTAATTGCAAATTCAGATTTAGGGACCAATGATTTCATTAGTTAGACGGCTTAGTAATACGTAAAAATTAAAATAACATGTTTAAAGTTGTATAATTTGCCACCACTGTACCTATGACAACAACGTCACATAGCTCATTTTCATTCGCAGAGTGGAGTATGAGCCTTTGGTTGCATGCTCTTCTTGTTTAGACGTCTCTGGGAAAACTGCCTTAAATCAAGCCATCCTGCAGCTTGGAGGACTTACCGTAAACAACTGGACAGAAGAATGCACTCACCTTGTCATGATGTCAGTTAAAGTTACCATTAAAGTAGGTCAAATGCGCTGTTATTATGTTAAAATGAGTTCGGTGAATTTAAGCTTACTCGCCGCTATCCTCCTTGTTTTTAAAGTGATTTACTTTAAACCCATCAGAACTGTTGTAGATTTATATATGCCGATCCCATGCCTTTGTATACCATTTAGGCTAGAATGACTTTTCGATAATGTATTTTTTATGTGAGACAACAGAAGCACATAGACTTACATTTCAGATACTGATTTATCATTTTAAAAAATGATTTACATTATCTGTACACCAGGAAATTTATACAGTGTATAGCTTGTGTTCAGCCTAAGAGCAAAGGGGCTAGAGAGCAACTGTCAGTCTTCAAAATTAGTATCTCCTGTCTCATCAAGTTGTTTTCCGCCAGTCTCTGTCTTCTCATGTTCTTATTTGGTTTAAGGTCCTAATCACAAATACTTCCTAAATTCTTGTAGTTTAATATTACCCTAATGCATCTTACAACCTAGAGATTTTAGAAGATGTATCTTTAGAAGATGCTGACTATTCATTAAAACAGTGATATATTTTGGGATGTCTTCAGATTTTTCATCTTCATCCGATTTGGTTATATCCAAAGCCAACTGAAAAAAGACATTGAGAGGTGATTCAGCTTTTAAACAGGTGATCCTACATATGTAGGATTGTTTTTGGTTAATATCTATAGTGAAAAGCAACAGATATTTAGATTCCTTTATTAGCTGACAGAAAAATCCTTTAATATCTAATATAATTAATTAAGTCAGAATTTGTGTATTATAGCTACAGAAGTGTTACAGAGAAGGACTTGCTGCTCAGATTGAACCTCGTGTCAAACTTGTATCTTAGGGTTATCTTTGACCAAGGATCATGTCATCTTCCCAAGTTTGTTAAATTGATTTATAAATTCAGCAGAGAACTAATTTATGCTGGTATACCACAGATAATAGATTCATAAATCAAAAGTCCACTGTTAGTTTACAGTTGGGATGCACCCTTACAGTGATCAGAATATTTACGTGTGGACTCTAAGATGTCAAGGTGCCTGAGAAACAGAAGAGGTAATCGTGCCCTTGCTTGGCAGGTATGACATAGGAGCCAAGTCTTTGACAGTCCTGGGAACTGGCACCCATTCTCCAGAGCACACACTCTTCTAGTGACACATCCGACGGCCACCCTGTTGCTCTCCCTATCAGGGAGTCCTGGATATACACCAACAAAGGCTCGTAGAGCTGTCCTTTTCAATACTTCTGATCAGTCGTGTGCCAAAAAAGAAAACCTTGTCATTCCTTTTTTTGGTGAAGTTTCCGAAAGTACAGGTTACCTTATGTTTTTAAAATCATTGAATGTTAGAACAAAATAGAACTTAAAGTACATTTAGTTCAGCCCTAGCCAGTTTGGCCCAGTGGTTAGAGTGTTGGCCCGGAGAACTGAAGGGTCTCGGGTTTAATTCCTGTCAAGGCCACGCACCTCCGCTGCAGGCTTGATCCCCGGCCCTGGGTGGGGCACGTGCAGGAGGCCACCAGTCGATGGCCTTCCACTGTCTCTGACCATTAATGGAAAACATATCCTCTGGTGGGGATAAAGAAAAAAAAAGCTAGCATGAGTATTGGTATTCACATATATTTTCTTCTTTTCAGACAATATGTGCACTCATTTGTGGATGTCCCATTGTAAAGCCAGAGTATTTTACTGAATTTCTTAAAGCTGTTCAGTCTAAGAAACAGCTTCCACAAATTGAAAGGTATTTTGTGTACTTTAAATGTAATAAAATACGACATATGAAGTATGATAGCACTAATTTAAGTTAATTCTTTCTTTAATGACTCTTTCAGTTTATAAGGTTATAGTTCAATTTTATTAGTGAAGTTTTTTGTTAGTATGTAAAGAAAGGACCCCCAGATTCTTTGTTGGTTGTTTCTTATCTTGGTGAAACAAGTGTTACGTATGTGCCAGTATTTAAAGAAAAACACTGAAGGGCAGTGACCAGCACAGAGGTGCCATCTGCAGAGCACATGGACCAGTGCCTGGGGTCCTGCCCTTGGACACTCCCTGGATTGTGGTGCAGCAGCAGCCTGTCCCAGAGCCACATGGTCCTGGGGAGAACAGTAACAGCAGCCGGGCCCGGGAATGGAGCACGTTTCTCCTGAGACCAATACCTGTCTTGCTGAGGATTTAAGTATTTAGGGTTATTACTACTAGTGTAAGTGTTGGGTATTTTACGTAATAGTATATACAAAGTCTGAGCACATAGCCTGGCATCATAGTAGGTGCTTGTTAAAAGAAAAGTTATTGCTCGTTGCAATATCTGGGAAGGTTCATAATAGCTAGCTTGCTTTATTTATTTACTTATTTAGTTGCTTTGCTAAATTTGTGAACCACCAGGCTAAATGATATGGTATTAATAATGTTCGAAGAAATGTAAACTGTGGTTGAGGAAGATATTTGGATTTTTTTCAGATTGTATGGTTAAAATGCTAATGGCTAAAATGGTGGGTGTTTCAGTCATCTGCACAAGAGCATGCTGCTTAAAATAAGTCAGTAGATTATAATACATTTATAAGCTCATCTCTATAGTACAGCTTCGAATATTTGAAGAGGTTAGAAAATTGAAAATATTATTCAAGTTAAGTATTTCTAATTTTAAAATATTACTAGCTAGTATGGGGTATTTTGCCCAGTGCAGGGTTTTTAAAGGACTGTTTATACCTGACAATATGGACCTGCTTTTAGAAGTAACTGAAAATCAGGTTTTTCTTTTTGTTTTTTATTTTGATTTGGGAGGTTTCTTGTATCTTATAATCTTGTTAACAGGTAACATAATGTTTCTGGGCTGTGGAAAGAGATCATTAGATTTTAAAATAGATGATTCTTAACCTTTTTTGAGTCCCATACCCTCTGAGAACATGAAACTTCACTTGCATACCCCTAACTAGCATGGTATTTCAACAGAATCACATTTCCCCATGAAGCCTACTTATGAACCTCCTTAGGGAGTTGATAAATCCTGTAAATAATCACCCTTGTTACAGATAGTAAGCCTTTGTTAATTCCAGATTACGTGGGAGTGGGGAGTCTGAAAGGCTGCCGCTGAGAACGTTTTGTGGTCTTAGAGATTTTAAAATTAGTTGTTGATTCCTACTTACTGTTCAGATTCTCGAGTGTTTTTTCTTTGGCTCGACGTAATTTTTTTATGGCTTCAGTTTATGACTTCATTAACGTAGATGTCTGCACTGAGACATTCTTGCCTTGAGATTGTCTGGTAACTCTGGACTCATTGTTCACCAGGAAGGACTATTGCATTAGCTCATGTTTGACAATGGCAATTGATAATCAGGTGTTTAATATTATTTTAAAATGCAGAGTTCTTCCCTTTATCAGTTTCTACACCTATTGTGATCCGTTTGATGCTCACTGAATACTTACTTGACTGCGTACTCAACTATGAAATAGAAAAAAGGTTACACTGGAGTAGCAGGATGGGTTTCAGAAGGGAGATGAAATGCACCGTCCTGGCTTTTTATTTCGTACCTACATCCTCTCTAGGTTCTGGAAGAAACACCTAACTAGTCCTGGGTTTGAGTTAGGAATGCAGACTACAGACTGCATCATTTTTCTCTCACAAAAAGCACCATCCTTTTGGTGCAGTTATGTCTGTGCCTCTGCACTGTTACCAGGAGACAGGGGAAGGCAGAGTTTAAGCTTCCTGCGCCCAACCCAGTGTTGTTGATTTTTTCATCAGTACCACACTGTCTTGATCACTGTAGCTGCAGTGAGTCTTGGATTGAGGTGGTGTCAGTTCTCCAACTTTGTTGGCTGTCCTGGGTCTTTTCCCTCTCCATATAAACTTCAGAATCTCAGTATCCACACAATAACTCGCTGGTAGTTTTGTTGGGATTGCGTTGGATCAAGTTGGGAAGAACTGAGAGTTTGACAGCGTTGAGCCTCCGTGACCCATGGACATCAGTAATTTTTACTATAAGGGAGAGGTAAGCTGAAAGGTGGTCACTCAAGAAGAGCTGTGGCAACAGATCTGAGTATGTAGAAAGCTGAAACTGGACTCATGAGAGGCTTAAGGATTATCTGTGGATTTTTTTTTTTCTCTCTATTTTCTTCTTTTTCCCGTTTCCATGGATGATTAAGATGTTTTTATAGCATTAATTTAAGAGCTAAAAGATTATATTTTTAAATCTCACTTTGGAAATTTTATTTAAACTGACAAAATAATGTAAGTCTTAATTTCCTGAGCTTTTCCAAAGAGCTCCATAACAAAACACTTATAGAAGTTCACAGAAATCGAGTACCAACACTGTTAATACCTACTGGTTCCTAAGCAAACACGCTGCTGACAGGTTCTGATCTTTGTGGATGATGTCTCTGTCAGCCTTTCTAATTCATGTAACATGAGTCATATATATATATATATTTAATTGTATCTTGTTACAATTGTCTACCCTTGGATTATATATTTCTAGAAAAAGCTTTTAGGTACTTTTTGTCATTTTTGTCCCAGATAAAAACTTAAAAAAAAAAAAATAATGGTATTATGGAAATTAAGGCTTTCTAGTGTCTAAAGAGCTACTCCATTTACAAATTTAGTGGCATGCATACAGAGTAGTTTATAATTAGAATATACTTTAAATTTTTTTTTTTTTTTTTTTACAGTTTTTACCCACCTATTGATGAGCCAGCCATTGGGAGTAAAAATATTGATCTGTCAGGACGGCAGGAAAGAAAACAGATCTTCAGAGGGAAAACATTTGTATTTCTGAATGCCAAGCAGGTAGTGTTACAAGCTAAATTTTCCTAAAGAAACATTACACATGAGGACAAATTAGTACTGTTTTCAGTAGTTGTTAATGCATTTTCTTTCAAGGTTATGTGCAGAAGTGTGACATCAAATAAACAACTGCCCAGGCACCAGCACCTGCCTGTTGTTCATGTATATGATTATAATGTTCCTTAACATCTGTCAGTTGGCCTGTTAAGTTTATGTGAATATGTAAGTTGGGGGTAGGGGGGATCTGGTTTACGTTTTAACTTGGGTTAATAAACAGATGTTGACTGTCTTTGTGTGCTGAAGTGGGGTCCAGGATCTCTGTTGCTGTGGGAAGCCCTGCCCATCTGCCCTGGAGACAGTGTGATGCTCTGGGGCTGCAGGCACCTGTGAGCCAGGGGTTGTCTCAGAACGAGGCTTGGAGGCTTGGATCATCTTCTCAAGGAGCATGATCTTCTATGTCAATTCTTTCATTTTATTACCAAATCAAGTTCTTACAATTTTTAGAACATGCTCAGGAAATTAATTGTGGCTATTTTATTACTTTTCTCTCTTTTCCATTTTTAGCATAAAAAATTAAGTTCAGCAGTTGTTCTTGGAGGAGGAGATGCTAGGTTGGTAACAGAAGAAAATGAAGAAGAACATAGTTTCTTCTCGGCTCCTGGAACTTGTGTTGTAGACGTAGGAATAACAGATTCGCAGACCTTAGTTTCTGACTCTCAGAAAAAATGGATTCGTTCGATTATGGACATGCTCCAGAGGTATTTACTATTCTCTCTTAGTAAAAATCATGCAAGTAGGTGGCTACATGGAACTTTTGGTGCACTCTACATGACAGTGGAAAAGTGTATACAGTAATTATTGCAAAGATTTTATTATAGGTGGTACTTGTATTTTGTTTAAGAAATCTTTTTCTATTCATAGATCAGATTATTCACCAAGATTTTTTACTAGTATGTTGATACTTTGTTTTTTAATTTTTTTTTCATCTACCTGGAATGGATTCTGTTTATACCAAAGCTCCACACACATGGGAGGGGTTTGGCTTTAGCCTCCACTGGTCAGCATGTCCACCTTACACCAACACCACATTAACATCCTCACGTGCAGTAGGACAGGCTCTCCCTCTGCTCTTCCTCAGGAGCACCCTGGCTATTCTTGGCTCTTTACTTTTCTGTATACATTTCAGAATCATCTTTTCAAAAACCTTGTTGGGAATTTGAGTAGGAATTTTGTTGAATCCACAAATCAGTTTGGGGAGAATTAACAGTTTTTATAATTTCTCTGTAGAGATCTTACATACCACTTATTAGGTCTGCCTAGATACTACATATACTATATCTGTGGTAGGTGTAATATAAGTATATGATGTTTCTTTCAGTATATCTTCTAGTTGTTGACTGTTGATGGGTATAAATTCAGCTGAAATTTAGGTACTGTTCTTTCCTGCCACCTTGCTTGACTCCCCTTGTGTTTCTAATAACTCATCTGTAGTCTTTTTTGTATAAACCATATCTGTAAATAATGACATTTCTATCCTATTTTTAATCTTCATGTCTCTGATACCTCTCTCTCCTGTCTGTCTCTGCTGTGTGCCCACTGGGACCTCTGGAGCAGTGTTGGAAGGGAGTAGTGAGGTAGCCACATATATCTCACTATTGACTTTAATGGGGTGTTTCCACCGTTTCCCCACCCAAGATGATTTAGTGTCTGCATAGCACTATAATTAAACATGTATTTAAAATGTCTTAATTTTATTTTATACTAATCTTTTTAATGAATTTTCATAGTATTTAAAGTTTCAAAAACATTAGTAGGGTAATAAAATAACAATTTTGAATTACCTGAATTGTAAGTAGGTATATGTGGTCACTTGTTTATAATACTTTGTAAAATCTTTTTTTAGTATTATACTATTATAATCGCACTTACAGTTGAACTGTAAATTAACCCAGTCAATACATTCAAAAAAACAAATGTTAAAGCATCTGAAAAAGACCATATAAACTAATGCAGCCACTTAAAGTATCTTGCAATGAGTATTAAAAGTTTTGTAGTTCTTAAAATTTGTGGTATAGTTTCTATATAGCATTATATTAAATTATTTTTGTTTTATAAAGTCAGTCATTTTTTACATTACAGAATAACAGAAGATAGGTTCACCATTAAGATTCCTTTAATAAGATTCCTCAACACATGTGAATTTGGTAAAATGATTTGATTTACTAAACTTTATATCATAACACACGTGGATTCAGCTTATACATGGTTCTTTGTACTCTCTCTCCTTCCCCTCTGCTTCTTTCTCTCTCTTATGTTTTCTCTCAGGATTTTAGTAATCATAGATTTGCTTATAAAAATCCTTTTTATTGCTTCATCTGGGTGTTACTATTTTCTTTTTCTGCAAGTTACAGAATTTAGAACTGAAGGCTCTACATCCTTCGCTCTAGACCTTTACAGGTGATACCGAAGTTAGTAAACCTGGTGGACTTGCCCTGGTAGCCTTGCTCAGTGAGTGAGCCAGCACTTGTGTATCTGAAATTCCCTCCATACCATAAAATTGCTGGACCTCTTGGGGGGTGGAAAAAGATAGTTTCAGCTTGACATCACGTTAATAAATTTGTTAGTTGGAATATATTTTCACACTTAAACCATTTTATTCTAATAGGCAGGGTCTTAGACCTATTCCTGAAGCAGAAATTGGACTGGCAGTGATTTTCATGACTACAGAGAATTACTGTGACCCTCGAGGACAGCCCAGCACAGGTAATTCAAGTGTCATTTAATTGACTCTCCATTAACTTTGTTTATTATGTAAGTTTATGATAGGCTATGTGCACATTACTGTGTACTTGCCGGGTGACCATTTCCAGCGTCTTTCAAAACTCACCTCCATTCAGTCACTTACTCATCTGGTAAATATTTGTGGCTGCTGTGTACTGGGCACCATTGTCAGTGCTGAACATACAGTGGTGAGTAAAGTAGACAAGTTAACTGACACGCTGAAGTTCATATTCTGCAGGTGGGATTCAGACAGTTAATAAGCAAGCAAACAGATGCTCTGATAGTTCTGTTAGGGCCAGGTAGGAGGAGAGGCTAAAACGCAGTGAGGTGGTCGTGACTGGGGGCGGTTGCTGTCAGCTAACACACGTTGCCCTACTTTTCTTCAAAATAAGCTAATGTTGCCATCACGACAATTCATTTATTCTTTCCTGCTTGCTTTTAGACCCTTGATATTTTCCTGAGGAACTCTCTTTTCTTGTAATTAGTAGCATTACTTCTCGTACGTATTCATAGGTGGGTCTGACTTACAATTTTAGAAGGTAGCAGTTTGGGGGCACAGAGAGAATGAGTGTCTCCGTCCCTCTCCCTCCTCCTCCTCTCTCTCCCCTCCTATAGTCATCCATTTACTTATTCAACAAGTATTTATTGAGCATTTGTTACATACCTATAATTATTCTGGACACTCGGAGTAAAGAGGTGAGCAGACCAGAGCAGATCCCTGCCTTCTGGTATTTTAGGAAGGAGAACATTGTAAATAATCTTACTGTTGACAAACATCAGTTACTCTGGGTCATTCCATTCCATTTATAAATGTTTCTTTTAGTGATTACATAAGCATCCATAATTATTATTATCTGTAAACTTCTGTGCAAGCAGAAATGAGCTTTAGGGATATGTGTGTTGAAGGAAATACCAGTGAACTTCTAAGGTGGTCACGTAAGGAAAGTGGCAGAAGTCCTTAAATATCTGAATTTGGAGTCAGCAGTAAGCATTCATTAAACACATCCTGTGTGTTTAATAAATCCAATTTACTTCCATTAACTTATTTATATTCACACTATACCAAGCGTTGCTCAGGGACTGGAGACAGAGAAATGGGCAGACCATCCCTGCTTTAAGTCTAAAGGGAAAGTCACAGGTGAGCGGTGCATTGCAGGTAACACTCACACCTGCACAGTGCTTGCTGTGCTCCAGGCATTTTCCAAGTGCTGTCCACGTGTCAGTTCATTCATTGTGCCTTCAGTTTCCCAGTTTGATAGGAGGTTCCGGCACAGGGAGGTTCACTAATGTAGGTCCCGCAGCAGGAGGTAAGTGTGTTATAGTGAGTACAGTGACAATATGTAGGTATGTGGGAGCTGAGAGGAGGCCCTGCTTCCATGCAGGGGTTCAGGGGACATGTGCCAGGAGAGGGGACCTTGGGTTAAGTTGCCATCCTAGCAACTGAAATGATGAAGTCATCGTGGTTTTCTGTAAGAGCCAAAAATTTGCCTAAAACTGTTTATGTATTTTTTCAAATAGTGTTTTCCTTCTAAAAATAAAACTTAGGTTGGTTTTGATCTGTGTAATGGTAGGGCAGATACACTTTCTATGAGGAAGTAAGTATTATTTGAGTTAGAATTTAAGTTGATTGTTTTTATTGAGCTTGATAATTCTTTACTATGAAGGATGTGATGTAGCTATAAAATGGTTTCGTTTAGATAAGCTCGTTACAGAGGCCATTTCGTTAAGTATTTGTTGGCTCCACTGACTGGAGACAGTCGTGTGCTTCTTACCTGGTTAGTTCCCTCAGATGACACAGGGTGGCAGTGGTGAGTGACAGAGGGTCCCTCTTGTGTCCAGCAGCTGTGTTCTTCCTTTGATGTGTGTGATCTACAGGATCCAGGATGATGACTCCAGGGCCGAGCCCTTCCCAGGGCTTGTCAGTCAAAGAGGAGTTCCTGTCGAGTGCCCCCATGAACTCTGTGACGTGTATGGCCAACACAGAGTCGGAGCAAGGAGATACGTGGTAAAGTATCCCTGGCTGATCTAGATAATTAACACAGTGTATTTTATTTTAAATTATCCATAATGAACTGTTCATATTGAAAGATACTTATGATATCACTATATATGACATTTCAGTGTTCTGCACCATGTTTTATATTGAGACCAGATATAACTTTTTAAAGAGAAACCAAGTTTTGAAAGTCACTTGAATGACAGGTTACTTGTTTTTCTGTGAAATAAGGAAAGCAAAGGCTGTGTATATTCAGCCATGCATTGTAGAAGAGTATGTGTGTGTGTAAAATATTTTCCTGGCACTCGAGGGCTGAGCTCTATTGAAGAGACTGCCGTCTGGCTGGAATACGCCACGAGTTCATCTAAAGTGATTGGGATGCCCTATTGCATGACACCGGAAGGATCGAGATTATTCTTTTTGTGATTTTCCATTTTTAATTTTTTTACATGGAAATAATTAAAAAAATTTAAACCAAACAAAAATTATCCAGGATTCTCCCCTCGTTTAGTTTATAAGGGGACACTGGGTTGGTATTCCAGGTGTGCCTGGCGGTGCTTCCTAGCAGAGCCTGCCTGACAGTGTGCCTCAGGGTGAGGAAGGGGAGGGGAGGGTCACTGTCCTCAGGGAGCATCTCTGATACAGGAGAGTAAAACAGTCACTGAATTACTGTCCAAAGATAGTTATGCTCTCAAGCTTTGTTGCATTAGTACTACCTAAAGGACTTCATTTCTGGATAAAAACTGCTGTAAACTTGATTGCCTTGCATTCTTTCCTTTTGCTACAGTATGGATTTGAGTGAAAGGCCAAAAGAAACAAAAATCTCCAGAATGGAACAAAAATTCAGAATGCCTTCACAAGAGACATCCACTGTAAAGGAATCCCCCAAAATAAGCTCTGATAATACTACTGTAGGAGCAAATGTTCTAGTTAGGACAAAAATCCCAAACTATCAGCTCTCACCAGTGAAGCTCCCAGGTGTAAATGGAGGTAGAGATCGGGCTTCCCAGCAGCTGCAGACGAACTCTATCCGAAACTACTTCCAACCAGCCACCAAGAAAAGGTACATCACACAGCCACCTGCGTCTCTGAGAAGCTCCGATGTTTGTTGTGTGGTTGTAGAGTGGCGGTCAGTCTGTGGGAAGCTGGGCCTTCACCTTGCTCCCTCACTGCGCTGGATGGACTCGCCCTCCCCTTTTCCTTCTGCGCCGTAGCTCATCTGTTGTTTCCTTGGCTGCGCTTGCCTCTCAGCCTGCTGGTTCCCTGGCAGGCCTCTCTCCCTTTCCTGAGGCAGGACCTGCTCTGTCAGTGTTCTCTCAGTTTCTACCAGCTTTAGTGTCTTCTGGGCCCCCTTCTGTCATCGAGAGCTCCATTTCATTTCTTAAAACCTTTCCTCGACTCAGTTTCATTCTCTTGCTACTGTTAAACTTCTCAGAAAAGAGGATGATTGTCACTGCTCCCATTTCTGTATGAGATATTTCTAAATGGGCAGATTTCATCTTAACTTGGCGTCCTTGAAGGTGACACTGACTGACACATTGTCAGCGCGAGTGGCCTGTTGGCAGCATGCAGCCCCTGAGCCTCGCTCGGCCTTTCCTGGTTGTGTGGCAGCAGCGGTCCGTCCTGGCTCTTCCCTCTCACCTGCCCTTTACCTTTTTCTAAGGCACTTTCCTCCCACCACTGCTTTCATCCTATGTAACCTGCCGGCAGGGCTTTGTGATGCTGTTACTGAGGGTCAGTACATTTGGCCCTGATGCATCCTTTAAGCTTCACTTTTCTACAGGAATTTCCTGCTGTTTTCCCAAATGATAGTCCTGAAATCATTTCTTCTCTGTGACAGAATGTGTATTTTTTTCATTAGTTCACACTACTTTGCCTCTCCTCTGTCCCCCCAAACCAGTAGTTTGATTCCTATTTTCAGTGTCTTGTAAATGCCTCCCTTTCCTTCTGTTTGTGTTGCTAGCTCTCTGGTTCCAACTCTGACCACCTCAGTTGTTGCAAAAACCTCTTGATTGGCCTGTCCAGTCCCTGACCTTAGATGAGAATTATTAAAATATCATCTGACTCTCCCAGCTCATTGTGAACCAGTAGACTCCTGGAGAGCAGAGACTGAGCTTTGTTTCCTCCATGGGCCTCAGTGTGGTTGACATGAACAGTGTTCAGTACTTACGGGATGACCAGTACATCGTTGTCTAGAAAATGCCTAGTCACATGGCACTTGCCGTGTGTGGTCTGTAGAATGTTCTGGATTAGCCCCTCTGACTGACTCCCTTGTCTTGAATCCAGCTCACTAACCCATCAGGTTTTATTCAAGGTGCTTTTTCCCTGCCCACAAATCCCTACAGTATAAAGTAAGCTGCTGTTCCCTGGCAGCAAATCCTTTGTGTTTTTACATTTGTTCTCCACATTGATTCGTCATCATCTCCCGCTGCTTCGGCAGAGGTAGACCTCTCCGTGTGGTTTCAGCCGCACGGTTGGTCAGTCCTCTCAGAGCAGTGTTGTGTACATGAATTACGTACTGTGCTCTGATGTCTTTTTTATTTCCAGTGATGTTAATTAATAAAACCAAGCATATTGTGAATTAAACGCGGGAGGGGTGAGTATTGAATTAGTTAGCTGTGCTCATTGTCTGTCTTGTTTTTCCCCCTTTTTCAAATCTAAGGGGAAGGGATGAGGAGAACCCAGACGCGTCTTCTTCTAAGCTGGCAAAAGGGGAAGTGTCTGGCTCTCTGACAGACCAGACACAGCCCGCTGCACCCCCAGTGTGGAGAGACGAGGGGCAGCATCTGTCTCAGCACAAGCCCGTGGGGAAAGACCCAGACGGCTTATTTACAGGTGTGGAGTCAGAGCCCACTTTGAGACCTTCTGCCAGGAAGTCTCTTCCTACAGAAAATCTAGGATCAGAAAAAAGGAAAATTGACGATTTAGCCATAGAAAATGAAGTACTGGAAGAGTTACTCAAGGACACAAAACCACAGTTAGAAGGAGAAGATGCCAAAATTAGAAAAATGCCAAGATTGGATATAGAATCAAATGGCTCCTTTAATGGTGAAACAATGCCGGAAAGTAACAAAATATCTGTAAGTAACTTTTTTTTTTTTTTTAAGTGTGTTTTTATTGATTTCGGAGAGAGGAAGGGAGAGGGGGACAGAGAGAGAAACATCAATGATGAGAGTCATTAGTCAACTGCCTCCCACATGCCCCCTACTGGGGATCGAGCCCGAAACCCGGGCATGTGTCCTGACCAGGAATCGAACTGTGATCTCCTGGATCCTAGGTCAGTGCTCCACCACTGAGCCACGCTGGTCGGGCATCATAAGTAACATTTTTTAATGAAAAGTACTGCAAGTAGAAACTTAGAATGTTAAAAAGTGTTCTAGATATTTGTATTGACAGTGAGAGCATCTGTTAGTTTCCTTGAAAAGAATATCTTCAATAGTCAGTATTAAGTATAAGAGTTTGTGGGTTGATAAGGTAGATGTTAAAAATACAGTGACTCTGACAGTATGTAAGAAATGACAGCAAGTGAAACTTGTTCATTGTTTAATGGATTTCTAGGCTGTGCTCTTCTGTCAGACGTTGGCCATGAATGTAAGTACAGGAGATGCCTTAAAACAGGAAGTGAAGACAAAGATGAGGGTGGGTAGTGAAACAAAGTACCTACAAAATAAATTTTTAGGATAAAACATGTAAAACATCACTAGGAATTTTTTTTTTCCATTTTGGTCTTTAATGTCCTGTCCTATTTTCACACATGTTGATAAATGTCTTTGCCCACTTTGGTCTAAGAAAATGCTTCATATTACTCCCTATTTCATGCATCAGTAAATTGCCTACTATCTGTAGACAAGTTAGCTCATTAGGTGAGTGAGAGCACAGATCTCATGAAATCAAAACTTAATATTCTGATCTCCCACCCAGGTCCATTAGCTCTGCTCTCATTCGTGGCCGTGCCTGGCTATCCCCACCTATAAACGGCTACTGGGTGAGGATAGGACCTAGTAAAGGATCGGGACTAAGTGATTGGGAGGTACAGTGGTTGTTGAAAACCTGGTGTGTATCAAGCACTATGTAAATGGATAAGTGCTATCGAAAGAAAAAGTATATGTCCTGTTTAGCCTATATATTGGCATCTCCACACGAAGGAGAGAGTCCTCATTACTTATTTCTTAGGAGTAAATCCCAGATGCCCTTGGGGAGCAACTGCAAGAATCACCTGGTGAGCTTTTTAGATGTCCCTTCCCAGATGAGAGCCCCAGAGGTCCTAACTCAGAACATCCAGTTTTCTTCCCAGAAAAAGTTCCCTCGTATTAGTTAGAATTCCTTTGAGATCTTTAAAAATTCTAAAATCAGTGGCTTAAATAAGACATGGTTATGTTTTTCCCTATAAAAAGAAGCCCAGAAGTAGGTAAGCAGAGCTGCTTGGCAGTTCCATGCTGCTGATTTCCCAGGAGTCTGCCTTCCTGCTCCCGTCGTCGCTGTGACGTTCCACGGAGGAAGCACGGTGGGGAGAGCACAGCACGAAGGCCTTTCCGCTTTCTAATGCTTCCTCAGAAACCCTACTTGATATCTTGGGCTGTTGGCCAGAATTGAGTCATGGGCTACACCACTCCCATCCATCCCTCACTCTGTCTCCAGGAGAGTCTGGGAGATGCTTTACACTTGACACGTGGTCGGTCATCCCTCACGAACTCGTCATTGTGAGGAGGAGAAGGAATGGACACTGAGGCACCCTCTAGCCAGATCAAGAACGTAAGACAGAGTGGGCTTTTATTGTCAAGATTGAAGATTAGCTCTCACTTTACCAAGAGATTAACTGAACCAAGTGGCCCCTTGTGGAGCAATTGCCAGTGCAGTGGAGAGCTAAGTTAGCCTAGTGTGGCATGCGGTGAGATCCAAGGGATGAGTCCCAGCCAAGTTTAACAAAATCATGTGAATCTGCATTGTCCCACTAGCTCCAGCCTGATTCAGAAACTCTGTCTAGGTCTCGTACTATTATCAGTGTTTAGTCTTTAGAAAGTCAGGCCCCAGTTACGTTACTGTGGCCACATCTTTGGAAATGCATTTGCCTGGTGGTACCCTTTCCTCCTGTGTTTCTTTGATTTTTCCTGATACATTTCTGTTTCCTTTCTCTCATTATCTTGTCCTATTACCTGTTAATCTTTTTTCTTAATAGCCTTTTTTTTCTTTTTCTCCAAGATTGGTCCACTGCTCACAGTGGCCACAGTTTGGCTGGAAGTGGTTGTGGTTTTAGTCACAGAAAGCCATCTGTGTAATCACTTTTGTTTAGAATGTGGTCTGGACATAGGAATGTGAAAGGAGAGTGTGATTGTATACAAGGCAGTCTCCAGTTAATTACAGATGAACATCTTGAATAATTAAACTAACTGTTTTTTTCCTCTTGGATTAAGGGTGACTTAAAATTCAATTCTAAGCATAGATAGAATCCCTTAAAAGTGTTTTTACTTTTAACTGTAAAAGTAATATATAATGTAGAAATATGGAAAATAAAAAAAAGACAATTTGCTGATAATCCTGTCTGCAGATAACTATAGTTAATATTTTGATGTTTCCTTTTTTAAATCATATTTTACAAACTCGAATCCACTGTTAATGTAATTTTGTAGCCATTTTTATGCACTTACGATCATTTCTATTATTAAATATTCCGTCTATATAACTTATAGGAACTTAGATTCCTTCCAGCTCTTTGCTCTTATGACTAACTCATACTACAGTGTATTTCCTACATATATTCCTGTTCCCATCTCGTAGTTTCTCTAGAAAAGATACTTGAAAGTCAATAATTGGCCAGGGGCATGAATATCACTGAGGTTTTTAGAAAGGTACCATTTTATAACTCCTTTGAATAATTTTTTTTTTTTTTTTTAGCAAGAAAATGAAAATGGGAAGAAATGTGAGATCAAGAAAGAATTACTGTGGTCAACTAAAGAAGAATCATCCGTGAGTAAACTATTTATTTTTTCTAAAGACTTGACTTCAGTGGACCATCATCTCATATCTGTCATTGTATATTATTAGGATTGAGTCTCTTTCTGCATTTAGGTCTCATAATTGTGCCTCCTCTGGAAATGGGTGGATCACCTTATAACCACGATACAGCAGACAGAACATGGAGAAAAGCCTGGGTGTAATTCCTTGCCCTCTACTCCATAGACAGTGACCTCAAACAAGTTATTTTCACATTTGTGAACCTCAAGTCTTTCATTTATAAAATCGACACTTTCCTGCCAGGGCTGTTGTTTCTATCAAGTAGAATGATGGATGTGAAAATTTCTAAACTCTAAAACACAGCACCAGAGTATGAGGCTGTTGTTATTTTATTAGATCTGATTATAGTCTGTCACTACCCAATGAGTCTTTTCTTCTCTCCCTGCCTGTCTATATCTTAGTCCTATTAGCAGCTTCCCTATGAAAATATATGAAGCAGTTTAAAAACTGAGATGGTTGGGTGAGCAGCTGTAGCAGTGTTGATGTGTAACTAACTGTTAGTTAACAACAAATGATACAGAGACTCTCAGTTGGCCCCAAGAGGGAATCTTCAGGCTGATTTAGTAACTATTAGTCCAGAGTGAAAAAGTGGCTTTTAGTTCAGAAGGTAGTGTGTCCAGAATTAATTATTGACTTTTCTGAAGTGTCACAAACAATAAAAAAGACAATTATTGAAAATCCAAGAAAGCTTAAATAGTGTAGATAAGAACTTGTGGAATGGATTGTATAATAATCTTGGAGTGCGGTTTTAATGAGAAGCAGCAGAATTTCTTGCCAAGAAAATATATATAAGATACATTGTTCATTGACATGATATTTATTAAAATAGACTACTAAATTTAAGATACTATATGGTTTTTAAAATACTACATGCTTCCTGTTACAGGTTAGTATGATATAAATGTTTCTAAAGTTATAAAGCACTTGAATAAATAATTTTCTGGTTTTGAAATAGATATGATTTGATTCCAAATACAAAGTTCAGATGCCAGAAATAAACCTTCTTAACTGTTTTTTCAGATATTTGGACTTTTTAAGTTTAGATCCCTCAATGACAAGTGATTTTCCTTTTGCTCGTTTCTTGCTGTCCATCCACCTCACCCCGCGTAAGAACGATGACCGGCTCCAGGATGGTGGCGAGTCGCCTCCCAGGAGGGTGTTACTGACTGAATTTAGATCCCTGGTGGTGAGCAGCTCTGCCTCCAGAAGTGCACCCAGTGTGAATGGTGATTATGGTCGACTGAAGAATTTCAAGAAATTCAGAAAGGTACGTATTTCTGTAACAAACATCACGAGAGAGCAGTGTTTGAAATGGTTGTAGAAATACTGCTGATGCTGACCAGTAGTAGAAGCAGTTCATGTTGAAAACGGATGCGGTTTCTTCTGCTTTAAACAGTTAAGACATGAACTTAGAGTTAATATATAAAACAGCTAGTCTTTCCAGTGCGTGTTTACGTGGTTTTTCCCACCATAACGAGCAGGTGCTTGGCTGTATTGATGGGGTCCTCTCACTTCTAACATTGATCTGTGACTACCTGAAGGGGTTAACACAGGACTTTATGAAGATAACAGATTTGTTGAAAATAACAGCACATTCAGTAAGAAAACTAGGCATTTTATGATTACATGCATATAGGAAATAAAATATAAACATGTACTCTCAGCATTACCATCAGGCCCTCGTTCCTCCCCTTCTAGGAACTTAGGAGGTCGTTATTTTATGTGTGCTCACCTGATTCTTGTCTATCCAGGATATTGGCTTCCATCTGTAAACCTGCTGACACTGCCTTTTGCTTATGCATTTGATGAGAATCTTGGAGTAATTTTTTTTAAAGTGGTTTCTGTGGAAACAGCGTTTCCCTGGAACATGATCTGTGATATTCTTGCTGTGGCCACGAGGTGTGGGAACTTTTCTCTCTCATGTGAGCTGCTGGTAACATTTCTCAATTAAATTAATTTCTGCCTCCTCCGGCAGGCCCTGCAGGGTTCTGAACTCCATTTAAGAGGCGTGAAGGCCTGGCCAGGCGTGGCTCAGCTGTTGAGCATTGGCCTGGGATCCAGGAGATTGCGGTTCGGTTCCTTGTCAGGGCACATGCCCTGGTTGTGGGCTCAATCTCCGTTTGGGGCATGCAGGAGGCAGCCGATAAGTGACGACTCTCTCATCATTGATGTTTCTTTTTCTCTCCCTTCCTCTCTCTGAAATCAATAAAGATATATATAAGGAAAAAAAAGGAGGCGTGACAGATGGGATGTCTCCATCATGTGGCTCATGTACCCTTCCCTCCCCACAGCTGAGGCTCGTGAAGAGCACAGGGGCACCTTTTTTTTTGTAATTGTCACCCAAGGATATATTTATTGATTTTAGAGAGAGAAAAAGGGAGAGAGAGCCATCAATCGGTTGCCTCCCATACGTGCCCTGCTATTAAAAGTATGAACTGTTGCTGTCTCTAGCATTCCTTGCTAGGGCTGTGCAAATGTGAGCATCCACAAGTGCTGGAAAGGACTCCAGCTCTGAAATCCTTAGAACACAGTATGATACTTTAAACTATAGGGTGTCACCGTGAGTTGCTGTAATTGGTGGATGACGTGCTGATGTCACTTTTGAATAAAACCCCCAGATTCAAAACCTTAAATTCTCTTTGTGCACAAGTTGTGGTTATGCATCTAAATCTGGGCATAACAGTCACAAAAAACAGGGCAACAGCAGGGCTCTCACGGTTACTGCTCCGGCTCATGCACTGCCATTTACAGGGTGTACACGTCTTTGGCACTTGCATTGCACAATTTACAGTCCTTGCTTTTTTAAAGCTTTTTATAAAATGGTCTTAATTTGTTAACCTTACTACTTAACAGGTCCAGTTTCCCGGAGCAGGAAAACTTCCACAGATCATTGGAGGATCAGATCTCATAGCACATCATGCGCGAAAGAATACAGAATTAGAAGAGTGGCTGAGGCAGGAAATGGAGGTTAGTAGGGTTGTTAAATGAAATTAACTCGTCACGTTTCTCACGGGTATAGCTGAGTCTAGCACACACATGGGAAGACACGTGATTTTCACCAAGCAGCTGTCAAAAAGCTGCTAGTGTTACTATCCTAAGTATTCTTAAAGCCTTCCTAGCAGGAGATGGTGATTTTAAAGTTATAATACAGTAAAGAAAAATCAGGAAGGAAACATCAGCTTTATTTTACATATCTTAGTAAAAACATTAAGTAGGATGGTATTAAATAGAAATCCTCATGTGACTGGCATTTTTTAAGGGTTTGGGAGAACTACATCTCACAATCTTTCAAAAGTCCACTCAGGTTGGATAGAGTTCAAAGAATTATGTTCAGTGCACAGAATGAAAATGTACTAAATCAAAGAAAACTTCAGGAACTGACTCAGGATCACGCAGCAGAAGCAGAGAGAAGGGCTGAGAGAACCAGAGCAGGGGCTGTAGGAGAGCAGCTGAGCAGTCCAGGGAGGTGAGCAATCCTTTGAAAGTGTGTTATCTTCACAGGTGCAAAATCAGCATGCAAAAGAAGAGTCCCTTGCTGATGATCTCTTTAGGTAAAGTTGAATTTCAGCTTTCTCTTGAGAGATGTAAAATTCAGTTCTACTCATAGAAGTTAAATATTTGTTTTTCTTTTGTTCTTAGACTTAGTCCTTTCACCTAAAGAATGTTTTGTTTAAAACATATGTACGTCTTTTATCTATGTGAGCACCTTAGTTGGGTTGCTGGATATAGCTTCGAAGTTTGGGGTTGACTCTGTACTGTACCACAGGGTATTTAAAATATGTATGGGCACTCAGCTCAAAGGCTCCTGAGCTGGGGGAATTTGGCTGGTAAATGTGTAAGATTTTCAACTGAGTCGAGTTATGAATGAATGGGTTTTGAATTAAGACAAGTAAAATACAAGACCATTTGTTGAGTTTTAATTGACACAAGTATAAAAATAAGAGGCTGGATTAGAAGTTCAAAGCAGGTTTTTGTGGGAGGCTTAGAGTTATAATGGGTGATTGTAATTTAATTCTGACTTAACACATTTTCAGTATTTATAACAGGCCCAACAAACCTTATAGTAATTCACTTTAAAATACTCATAAAATACTCTGTTGTAGGTAGATACTGGTTCGGGGAGAGTAACATTTTCCCAAACTTACTTAAAGGCAAAACAAAGGTAGTGGTAGAGTTTTGAGTCTGTTTTACAGCCAATTTGATTGTTTTAATTATCAACAATATGAGTCATTGGTCAGAATGTTGACAGTGCTGATTTTTCATAAGTAGTCAAATGAGACAACCTGGTTGACCAGCTACAGTTCTTATAGTAGAAAATTGTGTGAAGTAATTATATTTTAGGCTCATTTATTGCTCTTTTGTGCAGATGGTATACTTTAAATTGGGGAGGGAGGGGAGAAACCAAAGCCATGCTGGAATAAGTATAAACATGCATTTATTTTAAACTTTTTTTGTTGTTATTTTAATACTTTCATAAGATTTTTTTTTGCTGCTGCTGTATTTTTTAGCAAATTTTCATTAAAGTAACACCAAAAGGATAAATGGAAATAAAAATGCCAGTGCTTAGTACCTGGTTCTAAGGACATGGTATTCTCCTGTTGCTAATGTGTGCCTCTATTTTGAAAGCCCTTTAAATTTAAAAGTGAAAGAAATGCCATCATTTATCTAGATATTACTTAACCCATTTCGTTCTTTGCAGATACAATCCTAGTGTAAAAAGGAGAAGATAGCCAAGGGTTTTATGAAGCCGCCGCAGGAAAACATTCCCTCAGCATTCCTTCCTGTTTCCTCTGGATACCAGGATTGGAGTTACAGATACTCTGCGGCCCGATTTAGTTAAATAAAACGCAAAAAACTCCATTTCTTTTGTGTGTGACAAGTAGTGTGGTTTGTTGTTTTCAGTCTTTGTCATCGCATCTCTCATGGTAATTTTTTTCACTCTTGAATTTGGTTTTTACTCCTTGAGTAGTTAATAGTCACAGTTCATCAGCCTAAAAGTATAAAAGGTTAAGGATTAAAAATCTCCCACCTGTCCCAGCTGTTGGTTCCATTTATCAGAAAAAATCGATGCTTGTTTCTTACGAGTCTTTCCAGATTTTAATGCCTATTCAAACTTCTTTGCATATCATCTTTAAATAGTTTCCTATGAAAACGATGGGTGTTCTGCACCTTGCGCTCTTTCACTGCATAGGTCGGAAGACTGTAGGCCTATCACATCTCTCTTCCATTATGCAGTGGTCTTCCCTGAGCCGGCGTCACCCGGATGAAGTGGACTCTGGGGTGAAGATGTCACCACAGGTTCTAGTACTGGGAACTGGAGACAGTGTGAAGACCATCAACCTTGCAGATGAATCTCACTAGAAGGTAAAGACCTATCTGCTGGTCTTACTGAGTTGGGTGTCACTCTCGCTCTGCTTTGAGACCTGAGTTCTGTATCTATAAAGTACAAATAGTAAGATTGTTTTCTTTCTACCTTAAAGGGGTAAGAAAAAATGAATGTCTTTGATTTCAGGCTTTGCAATGTAACATTGTCATATATTTTAGGGTTAGTCTTTTTATCAGAGGACTGGTGCGTGGTGTCCCTGGAAGCAGAACGAGGTTTGGATACTCACTGAAAGCTTCCTGGTGTCACATGGTTCTGCCACCCTGACAAGCCTGCCTCTTTAAGTTGTGAGCACAGCATGGAAAATGACCCAAAAAGTACTTTGTGCCACTGCTGGGTCTTTATGGAAGATGGGTAAGAGCAAACTTTTGAGACAAGGGGATGTCAGGAGTTCTTATCCTTGCCTAGAAACCATCTTTATAATAATGTCATTTCAATTTAGAAGTGACATTAAGAAAAACATCCAACCCAATTCATTCAGAGCTCAAGGAACAGGCCAGCAAGTGTGTGTTCGGTCAAGTGTCCTCCGAGGATATGACACCATTTCCAGTAGAGGTAACATGTATTTGAAACAAGTTACCATTATAATAAACTAAAACTGAATCTCATTTCTGAAATCTTTAATTGGACTTGACAGTTATCGGAAGTGTAAGAATTCTGACCTAGTTGGAGAGGCAAGTGTGTTCTAAACAATGAGCATTTAAGGTGAAATTATGATCCCGTAAGTACGTAACATTGCAAAAAGATGGACAGAAAAATACTGACACTTTAGTCCATTTTTTTAATATTAAGAAAAAGTAGAATTAGACATTCAGTAGACACGGAATGTGTCAGATGAACAAATTCTACTCAGAGAGAGGGAGAAACTGTTTGCTATGGGATTTTTTAACACTAAAATCCTGAGGATTTGTGTGGAAATGCAGACATTAAGAACATCTAAATAAATATAAATGAAGATGGGGCCTACAATTCAATAAATAACCATAGAATGAGCTGCTGTGTCATGTGAACAAATTTCAGATTGATCTTGGAAATGGAAGACAAGTTTTAACCTTATTTTCAACTTTAATAATTCTGGCAATACCCAAATAGTATTACAATATTAGAAGTACTGAAACAGAAATTAAGCCAGTTTTCACACAGGGGTAAGTAGTTCCATTCAAAATTTATTGAATTGCAAATTATTAAGTAGAGAATAATCTCCAAAAAAATATCTTGGCAAGTTCCTGGATGTCTAAGTGTATGCCAACATTACTGGACTGTTTAAATTATTAGAGGCTAAGAATATGAAGTATTTGTCAAGTTTCAATAATAAAAATATTTTTAAAAGATTGGCATATTTGGTAATAAATTACATTTATACAGTTGTTAATTTCAAAATAAATAAAACCTGAGTTGTAAATCCCTCCTATCCCCACCCTACCTCCAGCATACATACCTCATATCCCATTTTCTTTAGATCATGCGTCTCAACCTTTAATGAGCATACGTATTCCTTGAGGTGCGGTTTCTGATGCAGTAAATCTGTGGTGGGGTCTCAGCGTCTACACTTCTAACAAGCTGTAGATGGAGCTGGGGCTGGGTTTGGACCACCCTTTGGGTAGCAAGATGACCCAATATGTAGTGAGGACAATTTCTGGCCTGATGACTGTTTGGTTTTATAGATTCAGGCTGTAATGTTTTGGAATCAGTCACAACCAAAAATTATCAGAAAAAGTACTTCTTGGAAGAAAAGAACGTTCTAGTTGAGAGCATAAAGTATACCAAAGTAGCAGTGTTTCCCTCAGTCTGACAGTGACCCCTCTGGTACATTACAGCAACAATTTTCAACCGGTGTGCTGCAAGAAATTTTAAAAAGTGCGATGCCTGACTGTTTAGTTAGGGGCACTGACTGCTCTTCCCTTAGTAGATTGTCAAACAGAACAATAACAGCCAACACAATAGATGTCCAGTGTGAGCGCCCTTTCTTGAACCATAGGTATATATATAGGTCATAGAATTGCATCTTATTGGTCACGTTGCATAAGGTTGCTTCTGATTGGTTAATTCTTGGTACCAGACATCCTCACATACAAGTACAGGCACCTGATTTTTTAAAGTCACTTTGGAGCCCTGACTGGTGTGGCTCAGTTGCGAGTTTCGTCCTGTGCACCAGAAGGTGGCAGGTTCAATTCTCATGTTGCTGTTTCTCTCCCCCTTCCTCCCTCTCTCACAAAAAAAGTCACTGGAGCAAAAATGGTAATTACTATTGCTGTTTCTGTAAATCAAAATGATACCTACTACTTTCGTCAGATTAGCAAAAAATATATGCTTTGGCGTGCTGCAGAATTTTAATTAGTTTATATGTACCATGAGATGAAAAAGGTTGAAAACTGCTGCACTGCAGTGTAAATTAGACCAAGTTCTTGTAACTTTAAAAAATAGTTACTATTGGTTCGGACTCTCCTCCAGTTAGTTCAAGTCCAGAAAATTCAAGCCAGCACACTGCAAAAACAGTAAAAATCTTTAATGGTGAACTGTCCATATAAACTACTTGTAAACCTGCTTTAAGCTACCCCATCTCCTCCTCCTCTTTCAACAAATAAATGCTGCTTTTTCTTCTGTCTTGTTGCTAAACAGCGTGTTACACCCAGTGCCCCTCCCTTTAAAAATCGAACAAAATTATCTCCAACTAAGGGACCCAGTGCAAAAAGGTGGGCTTCTTTAACACACTCGTAGGTGTACACATCTACTTCCACAGGATTACCCTTACAGGTGATTGGGTGGCCCGAGTTATGGCCCAGGTAACAGCCTTGCTCCTTCAGAAAAGACAGGTTGGGATGAGAACCTATCAGTACTACTGCTGCAGAAAGTTTAAGTATTTTCTTCAACCCAGAGACACTCTGAAGGATGCATTTCATGTCTGACTTAAAAGAAAGCACATGGTGCTCAGGAAAGCTGGTATAATCAGATGAAAGACTGGCGTCTGCAGAATATGACTGAGTACACATCATGTGATAGACCTTATGATATTCTGGATACAGCTTTTTAGGAAGCTGCTTGAAAATTAAACTTGGATCAGTTACTCGTCTGCGAAATACATGAATCACAGGGATGTTGTTGTTGTAAGCACACAACACTGCATCAGCTGCAGTGAGCCCAGAACCTACAATCAACACTGGGTCCACTTTGCCACGAAACTTCCCTTTGCTCACAGCCGCTCCAAATTCAGGCATTGAGTGAAACACAAAAGGAAAATCTTCCCCTTCAACCTCCAGACGGGCAGGAGAATCCAGTGTTCCAGTTGCCAGAACTACGTTCTCAGCAAAGACACAGAAGGGAACACGAGAACCATCCGCTACTCGCTGATAACCCCGGATCTCCCAGTTTCTCTTGATAAACTTTGACTTCTCTGTCTGTAAACGCTGTGCTGAAATAGCTCTGTCACGACCACCATCTTCCTGGTCTCTGTAGAGCCTCGACACAGAGGTAATGTAGGTATTCTCTCTGAAGTTCTTCTGAAGACCCATGACTTTTACATAATGCTTATAGTACCGAGCGACTTCCTCTGGCATAACTCGATCCCCTTTTAGGTTCCTGTAAACGGAAAACAAGAACATCGCTTACTTAGTTCCATGACTATTATGTCTCCACCTAGGAAGCTATTACGTCTTTTTAATTCCTCTGAGGTATCTTAGCTATAGATTATCTTAACACCTTACAAAGAAAGAAAACTTTAGTAAAAAAGAGGAAGCCCCATGAGGGTAGAGAAAGTATTTAATGCTTGTCTGTTTCTCTATTGTCCTGCTTAGTGTCTTTCCGACTAGCTGCCTTTATCAACAAACTTGTTAAATACATGAAGGGATTAAAATGTGGATATATGAACATTAGACTATTTTAGCCTGTCACAATTGTAATCTAAATAGTTCAGTTTATAACTATACTATTCAGTCTATGTTCTGTACTTTTAAGTCAACGATTTTCAACCGGTGAGCTGCAGAATTTTTATAACATGCAATAGCTGACTGTTTAGTCAGGGGCACTGATCACTTCCCTTAGATTGTCAAATAAAAAAATGATAACTGCTAACACAATAGCCATCCGGAGTGAATAAATCACAATTGTATCTATTTTTTTGTCAGATCAGCAAAAACTTTTTTGGTGTGCTGCAGAATTTTAGTAATTTATGTTTGCCATGAGAAAAAGGTTGAAAATCGCTGCTCTAAGTATAGACTCAATTAGATTACAATCGTTGAGATAGTACAGGTCTAACTGTAATATACATACTTATTAAAGATATCGTACCACCCTGACACAATTTTAGTAAGTTGCTTTCTATTTTCCCAATGACCAAAATATAAGTCAGATCAGTCTTCTGCAAAGAAAATCAATTTACATCTAAGTAAATATGACATTTCTGTGTTTTTCTATTCATAAAGATATAAAAATAAAATACCTTTATGAAAAAATGCATTAGTACATCTTTCGTTTTCCACTTGAAATTTAAAGCAATGGGCATGAGCACCCCTAATCTCCCAATTAGAGATAAGCAGCAGGAGAAACAAACCAAATCATTTCACATAATTCATTATAGTTGTATTTGGAAAAAGTTCATCAAGTTTTCTTCTTCAAGTTTAATGACTGTAACACTTAAGATTTAAAATGTATTAACCTTCGATTTTTACAGAAACCCTAAGAAATACTATTATTATCATCTCCACTTTACAGACGAGGAAATTGAAGCTGATTTAAGTTATGTGACCAGAGTTACAACATGAGAAGTTATAGAGTCAATCTCTAGAGAGCTAACAGTCCTCCTCCTAACACGCTGCAAAGGCAGGAACTAAAGGTGATATTTACCACAAGATTAATTTTCACTCAGTAATTCTATACTCACTGTCCCCACTTCAGGACGAGCACTCAGTACCTAAGTCATGAAGCTCCTTTCTTACATCACAAAGGGAGGAAGGTTGAGCAGTTTCACTTGCTGACCTATGAAAATCAGGAACTTTTACAACTTTCCTGATTTTGCAACTTTGCATTTCAAACCTGTAAACAATCATTTTTTTTAAAACCCAAAAGGAATACTGGAGAAGTTTAATCTTAATTACACATGCTGGTCTAAATGTGCTCTCCTTAAATGCTGCCAAATGAAGGATAATTTCTGTGGGTTAACCTGGGCTTTATCTAGCAGTAAGGCAGCATTCGGGTGGTACAGCCCTGTGCTAACAAAGGTGAAGTAACTTCCTGCTTTCATTTATTGTTTTTGTGAGCAGTCGGAGTAGATTCTCCGTATTAGTAATTTCTATCTGATATTTACTATCCTTGAAAATGAGAGGGCTTTTACAATTTTTTTAAACTTTGGGTTCTTTCCCCCAAAATAAAACTACATTCTCCCAAGTTTAGATTTCTTCTCAGTTACTCAAGACTTCCCTATTCAACATTCATCTATACTCAAGTAGCCAAGCTCACCATCACTTCTAGTTTATTCCATCTGTCTAAATTACTGATCATATATACTCTCCTAGTCTAAAAGTCAAACAGTTTAGGTATGTATACATGACATGCATGCAGGAATGTATATGTCTACTCATAAAAATAAGGTGTGGAAAGGATATGTGGGTGGGTGAAAGGAAACAGTGGTGTAAAAGGATGGGACAAATCCTCGATTAGCAGAGAAGTCAGGACCCAGCGTAAGGACAAGCCCTCCCTTCCCTCCGGGCTTAGCCAAGGACACCAGAGTGGAAACTAGCTCACAATCACTGCTCAAAGAGGCTTCTTACTTGAGACACAGACATCTATCTTATCCACCTAAGACAGGATCACAAATACTCTGAAGTGTGCTGACACTCTCTTCCCATTGTTCACCAAAGAACTTCAACAGTTTGATCTTTACCTTCGTTTGCTAGTTACCCAATCTTTAAATTTAAGTCCAGGTAGCTCCATCCAATTTCCAAAGCTGATTGTCAACATGGAGCCTTCCATATTCTATTGGGATAAAAAAATGTACAATCAAAAAAAACACTTAAGCACTAACATGTTTGTTTGTTGTTTTTTTTTAAACCAAGCCCATCTGTTTACTATAAGAGTCTGGATAAGAAGAGCTCAAAGAAGTCCTAAGTGGTTATGTAAATTACCTCCCAAAGTTTATTCCAGTAAACTTTCAAATAATACTTTCATCATTTGGTAGAATCTATCTATATTCCTTCTTTCATTTAGTTACATATGTACTAAACAAATTTACGTTACCCGATGCTTACAATTTTATAGCTTTGGCCTATAATCAACATGGTAATTCAGATGTAAAATATCATGTTAGAGAAACAAATGATTATTTTCACCTTTTAAACAAGAGGAAAAGAGTTCATTAATTTTCACACTTTAGATGTCTTTTCATTTTATTATTAATAGATTTTTTTTTTAATGGGCAGCACAACAGCCTCCCCCATCTGTTATAACCGTGAAGTCTAAGCTGGTTGGGATGTAGCAGCATCTCGTTCTAGAACGAGAAGCAGCAGTGGCTGCCTGATTAAAAACAGACTCGCTGCTAATGCTAATGCTGCCTTTAAGGAAGTGAGCCCTTCAAGCTCATGTGCCCTCCTTACTTCTGCTTTGCTCAGAAAAAAGCAAGAACGGCCCAAGGTCCGGCAGCACCTGTCCCAGTGACCTCAATGATCTCTTTTCAACCAACTCTTCAAGCTATGGCTCCTTTTCCCTCAACTCTCTGGCCCTGTGTCTATACAGCCCAGTATTAGGAATGGGACTTAGTATTACTGTCCAACATTTACAGAACACTTGCTACGTGCTAGGCCTTAGGAAGCCTGTCTGTGACACACATCACCAAGGGAGACAATGCAGCATGCTGCCACTGCTCTGAGGCGGGCTGGGCCTGGGACTAGGATCAGAACCAAGATGGAAACCTGGGACCATCAGAAGGGGAGTTGTTAAGAATGTATTATATGTCAGAAGTTATCTGCAACCACATAATCATCTCATCTGGGACTCAAAACCCTTAAAGCACTAATATTCTACTTTCTGTCAACAATCTCTTCACTTTATTCCCACTGCACCAGTTCTTCAGTTGGTTGCAAGACATAGTCCCTTGGTCTCTTCATTTCTCTCCCAATCAGCTCCCCCTCCCCCCATGCAACCTGTATGCCATGGTGCCTGCAGTCATGCAGACACAGTATATTAGGACAAGCACTCTCTATAAAACAGATACTACACTGGCTGCTAAGGACACAGAGTGAACAGTAATTGTTAGTTGCTGCCCCTAATGAAATGCACAGACTCTTAATGTTACCAGTTCTCTGGTTAAACCTCTGCTATGGAATAAACTGCACCACCTCCAAATTCCATGGGAAGCTCTAACGCCCAGTGTGGAGGTATTCGGAGGTGGGGCCTTTTGGAAGTCATAAGGGTGGGGCCCTCATGACAGGATTAGTGGCTTTATAAGAAGACGACAGATCATGCTCTCTCCACCATGGGAGGTCACAGCAAGAAAGCTGCTGTTTGCAAGCCAGGAAAAGAGCCCTCACCACGAACGGAATACACCTGCACCTTGATCCTGGATATCGCAGCTTCCAAACAGTGAGAAGTAAGTGTCTGTTGTTTAAGCTGCCTGGTCTGTGGTAGTTTCATATAGCAGCCCAAGCAGACTAATATAACTTTGTTCTTTTAAAATACATTTTTCATTTAAGATCTTGAAAATATAGAGAAATATGTATATTGGTATGAAATACTGTGAAATTTTGTAAATTCTACAATGAATAAATTTTAAAAAATTTACAATACAAAATGTTAAAGTACTTTCTATATAATTCTTATAAAATACTACAGAAAAAAAATGCTTATTCTAAGACTATAAGTAATCAAATTTGGCTTAACTTCTAGTAATTAACCACAGGATTAAAATTTCAGATAAAAGTTCAGTGAACATATATATTGTCAAAATCTTTTAGAATCAAAACGATCATATTAAGATCTATATAATAACTGAAATACTAAGAAAAGAAGTAGCATTTCTTAGCATTCACTGAAATGCTAAGAAAAGTATACTCACATGCCAAGCTCCACCAGGTGGGCCTTTACCAAGAACTAAGTGAGGAATATAATGGTGTTGTTCTAATTTCCAATGCAAAATGGATGGATAGTCATACCCAAAGTCAGCATCTGGATGAAGAAGTGTGTCGAAAAGTACTGCAACTGGATTGGATGATCGGCCTTCAAGGCCCTCAGACAAGTATTCTAAATCCTGAATGAATTTTTTTTTCCAAAGAAAAAAAAGGCAGAGTTTGAAAAAAGAAAAACACAAGCCAGCACTATGATAATAAAAGTGAAGGCCACTGCTCTAGTCCAGCATTTCCCAGACGGTGTGCTGTACAACCCTGATGTTCCATGAGATCTTAACAGATTCTTTGGTCAAATAAACATTAAGAAAGGTTGGGTTTCAACATGTCTAATCAGATCCTTTTACTGCAAAATTTGAAGATGCCTTTAACATGCTAACATGCCTTAATATCTCTGCAGTGACACTGCAGCAATAAAAGGGCACAGGGCACCCATTAGAACTTTATCAGGAATCATTTGGGAAATTCTGCTCTTACTAACTCAGGAAAATAAATAGAAGTAACTAAGCAGAATATATTTACAAATCTAAAATAAAAATGATAGAAAGTATTACTAGAAGGGTTTTCAATTAAGAAACAATGCTTTCATAAGCATTGTCAAACAAATATTGTTTCAGTATAAAAAAATTAAAAGCATTAATATGTAAGAAATAATACCTGATCAACAATGGAAAGATGTCTTGCTTCTTGTAATTTACTATGTAAGACTGTATTTGGATGTATTGCTTCTGATGATAAATATGGTCTGTAGCCTGATAACATATAAGAAAGGCAGATCCCGGAGGGTCCATTTCCTATTAAAGAAGAGAGAAGGGTGGCGAGGGCATGTCACGCACAATACTCCTATTCCTTGGCTGTCCTCCTGTGTCACAGGTGGCTTTTTCCTCGCCAATCCTGCCTTCTCTAAACTCTGGAAACCAGTTATTCACAAGATTCTGACTTCTGCCTTCACACCTGGTTTTTGTGGGGAGTCTCAACTACTCAAAGCTTCAACTGTCTATGCTACTGACTCCCAAATTTAGACCTCTAGGGCTGACCTCTTCCCCAAAAACATACCCCAGGTTTCCATAGGCTCCTTCTTTATCTGACAGACCCACTAATAACTTCATCAAAATGTATTCAAAAGCAAATTCCTTCATTTAGGTGCCCCCTCCTTCTAAACGCCATCCCTTCCCAACGTGTGTACGAGCAAAATCCTGTTAACCACGTTCTGGTTCTAACCCTATTTTGGCATCTATATCCATCTTTGCTACTCTCATTCCTATACTCTCACTCAGAAGACAAGTCTCCTCCTATGTCTCCTCCTGATTCACCTACTCCCAGATCATTTCACATTCAGATAAGTTTTGGTAACATATGGTCTTCAGCGTGTTGCTCCCTCTATTCTAAAGGCCTTAACTGCTTGTTTTTGACCCAATGTGCTCTACATTCCAGTCTCAACCATCTTTCCAGTCCCATCTCCTAATACTGCCTTCCTGTATTTTTATGCGCTTTAACTAAAAGCAAACTGCATTTTTCACTGAACTAATTCTGTTTCTGTAGTTCCTTTAGTCTGGCTGCCACTTCTCTGTTATCTACATCCATCAAAAATTTAACCCAACTGGGACAACTGCTAGCCAGAGGGGAAAAAACCTGTTCTTTCCCTAATACTTTGTCCCAAATAAGCGCAAAGATATAAATATGAATAGTAAACTCATAAGAGTATTAGTAACGTGGGTAATGTTTCTATTTACAATGCCGGGGTGGGAAGCCTTTAAACAATAAAATAAACCTTTGCCTTCAGAAAAATTATCAACAAATGTCAAGTAGGGGGAGTTAAGATCTGAGGAAAAGAGCTAATTTCTTTGAATCAAAAAGAGACAAAGCTAAAGAAGAAATATCCTAGTATCAACAGGTACAGAAAAAGCATTTGACAAAATCCAACACCAATTCATGATAAAAACTCTCAGCAAACTACAGATAGAAGGGAACTTCCTCAGCTTGAAAAATAATATCTACAAAAAGCCTACGGCTAACACTGCACTTAGTGGTGAGTAACTAGGTACTTTCTAAGATCAACAACAGGACAAGGGTGTCTCTTCCCACCATTCCTCCCCAACATACATGTTGATGGAAGTCCTGGATAATGCTATAAAGACAAGGAAAGGAAATAAAAGGTATGTAAGTTGGGGAGGAAGAAATAAAACTGTCTTTGTTCACAATGCCATGATTATCTATGTAGAAAATCCCAAAGAACTGACCCAAAAAACCTCCTGGAACTAACAGACAGTTATAGCAAGGTTGCAAGATACAAGGTTAATATACAGAAGCCAACTGCTCTCCTATGTATCAGCAATGAACAAGTGGAACTTGAAATGCAATATACAACACTGCTTGTATTGGCACAAAAAAGAAAAACACTTGGGTATAAATCTAAAAAAAGTACACGTAAGATCTATATGAGGAAAACCATAAAACTTTGATGAAAGAAACCAAAGCATATCTAAACAGATAGGAAAAGTTTAAATGGAAACATGGAAAATCCAGAAAAGCCAACATAATAAAGAACAAAATAAAGACAAACCATCCAACTTCAAGTCTTACTATAAAGCTAGTCAACAAGACAGTATGGAAATAATGAAAGGACAAATCAATGGACAGAACAGAGAGCCCAGAGGTAGATCCTCCCAAGTACAGTCAACTTATTTTTGACAAAAAAGCAAAGGCAACCCAAGGGGGATAAGTCTTTGTAACAAGTGCATATCCACATGCCAAGATATGAATCTGGATACTAACCTTGTATCTTCTACAATAATGAACTCAAAACAGATCATAGATGTAAAAGAAAGGCACAAAATTATAAAACTTGTAGAGGATAACATAGGAAAAAATCTAGAGGACCTTCTGTTTTGGTAATGAGTTTTAAAAAACTATAAAATAGTCTTACCAAGTGATCCAGCAATCACATTCCTAGGTATTTACCCAAATGAGTTGAAAACTTAAAAAGGCCATGCAAAATCTGCACATTTATAGCAGCTTTATTCATAACTGTTAAAAATTGGAAGCAACCAGGATGTCATTCAATTAGTGAATGGATAAACAAATTGTGAAACATCCGTACAATAGAAAACCAACACTGTACATACACTGAGGAAATTAGCTCTTCATGCTCAGGCTGGTGGTGCTATTGCCAACGGTAATGGCCCTATATACATTGGGTTAAGTTACACTCATTGGCTAGTGGAGGCCAAACAAGAGTAGACTGACTGCGGGAGAGTGAAGTGGGCAGGTACAGAGGAAGGTGGTTTTTCCTGACTGTCCTATAGCCAAGCTAGAACAAGCCAGGGTTCCTCTGGTCCGAGATATCAAGGACGGAACACGAGGGTGGACCCAAGTAGGACAATGATACACAAGGTATGGTCTCCAGGACACCCTGATGGGAACCAGTGCAAAACCTCCTCTCCAGCCTTTCCTGGAGAATCTAGGATAAACTATCGAGATCTGTTCCTTTCCTTCTTTCCTTTACTGAATCCCCCACATGCCAGTTAGAGAGGACTTTTCTCTCATTCCCATTGACCTTGAAACAAAATATAGGTTGCCATCATTCCCAGGAGGCTGTCATATAATCAACACAACTGATAATATTTTCAAATAACAGAGTAGTATCAATCCTTAATGAATGGATGCTGCATTCTAACACAGGACCTAAATCAGATAACCAATTACTCTCTCCAAAGATCTCGTTATTGTTTGTTTTGAGATATCAAACCTAATACTAATTTTCAATACAATCCTAAGAACTTGTAACTGTGTAACTATAAATGTCCAAATGTGGTATGGATCATAACTATTTTTAAGAGAGAAAATGCAACAACTTACCTATTACTACCACAGGCAAAGTCACTGATGAATCTTCAAGTAAAGACGTTTCTTCAACTAATGGCATTGCTTTAACTTTTCGCCCCAAATTATTACCAAAATATTGCACTAAGGAATTATAAATCTCTCCTTCAGTTTCAGTGTCACCATAGTTCCTTTTTTAAAAAGACAAACATGAAACAAAAACAAGAGATACATAGTCAATATAGCCTTTATAAAAATCTACCTTTATTCAGATTTTATTTAGGGGAAAAAAGGGCAATAGTTCCATAAAAGGAGAAAATCCTTCTGATTAATGTTTTCAAATTAGTAGCTTAGCTACATGTTAACCTACACCACTTTGAATGTCAGAAATCCTAAATAGCTGCTAATGTCTCTTTAGTACTTTTTAGGCAAGTCCTACATAAAACAATTCCCAAATAAGAAGCTATCTTTAATGACCAAAGACATAGTATTATATGTAGATTTTTATTTTTTTGAGATTTCCTAGGAACAGGTAGTTTCTCTTTTACTTTTCTCATTAATAGAAAGTACATTAGAGACAGTATGTTTAAAACAAAATAATCACACCTAATATTTTAAGGAAAAGTCACTGTACTTAAGTATTATAAATTGTGCATTTTGGTAAAACAAATTAGGTTTATACATTTTATTCTCAAAGAGATACTGAAATATGGAAAGATCTTAATGTTGATTTCCAATCTACCTTCTTTCCCAATTGCCTTCCTAGAAAGTAGTTTTAGCATTGACATGCTCATGCAACACGCGGACTAACGTTAAACGGCTTTTCATGTGCTTATTGGCCATTTATATATCTTCTTTGGAGAAACAGATTCTTTGCCCACTTTCAGACAGGGTTGTCTTTTTATTGTTGAGCTTTAAAAATCCTTTATATAATATAAGTTCCTTTTCAGGTATATGATTTGCAAATATTTTCTTCCATTCTGTGGGCTGCCTGTTCACTTTCTTTATGTTGTCTTTTTAATCACAAACTTTAAATTTTGATGGAGTCCAATTTATTTTTTCTTTTGTTGCTGTGCTTTTAGTGTCATATCTAAAAAACCAATACCTAATCCAAGGCTGCAAAAATTTACTCCAATGCTTTCTTCTACAAGTTTTATAGTTCTAGTTCTTACATTTAGGTTTTTCATTCGAGTTAAGTTTTTGTGTACTGTGTGGGGTAGGAGTCCAACTGCATTATTTTGCTTGTGGGTATTTGTCCTGGCACCATTTGTTGAAGAGACTGTTATTTCTCCTTTGTCTCAGGATCTCATGGAAAATCAAGTGACCATAAAGGGTAAGGATATATCTCTGGACTTTAAATTCTATACCATTGATTATATGTTTACCTTTAAGCTAAAATCACACTGTTAATCTGTCTGTTTGTAGTAAATTCTGAAATCTGGAAGTGGAAATCCTACAACTTTTTCTTAATCAAGACTGTCTTGGCTATTCTGGGATCGGTGCAATTCCATATGCTTTTCTGGGGGGAAAAAAGGCAGCTAGGGTTTTAATAGGACTGCAATGAGTTTTTAGATCAACTGAGAAATACTGCCATCTTAAATACAGGGTGGGCAAAAGCAGGTTTACAGTTGTCTGTATGGAAAATAACACAATAATTAATAAATTGTAAAACAAGAATAAACTGTTTTGCATACTCACAACTGTAAACCTACTTATACCCCACGGTGCATATTAAGATTTTCAATCCCTACACTAAATGGGGTTCCTTTTCATTTATTTAGGTCTTCTTTAATTATTCTCAGTGGCGTTTCGTAGTTGTAAGTGTACGAGTCTTACATTCCTTTTTGTTAAAATTATCCCTAAGTATTTCATTCTTTCTGATGCTAGCACGAATAGGATTCACTGTAGCTGCCGGTGGAGGGTGTTGCCTTCAATTTATAAAAATCGCTACCCCTGCGAAGGGCAATAAAAAGGTTTGCGCGTCTGCTTCTGCCAGGTAAGTTCGCGGATGTGCAATGAGTACTGTAATTTTGAAGAAACAGCATGACATTGTAAGTAGTATTTCTAGATAGGTGCAACGGCTGCAACGTGAAAGTACCTGTGGTTTCTGCGGTGACAAAGTCACAAATACTACTGTGATTTGTTGCTTCTCTTCGTAACTGAGTATGAGATTTTGGCTGTTAAAATTCAGCGAAAATACGGCTGTACCTTCTTTACATCCAAGTTCACGGGCCCCTTAAATCCTGCCTATGAGCCAACTTAACTGCCGACCACAGTCGCCTCTGCTTTCAAAGGGCGGAGCCTGCGCGTCGGTGCGCGGCGGTCCCTGGAAGGAAGGTCCTCTGGGCCGGAACCGGACCCGGACGCGCCCGGCCCGGCCCGGCCCGGCC